CTTTCTATTTTTTCTTTCTTCACTTTCTATTTTTTCTTTCTTCACTTTCTATTTTTTCTTTTTATTATGTTCCTTTTCTTAGTTTGTATTAGTTTTTATCTTTTTAATTGTAATGTTTAATAAAATTACTATTAAAAAAAAATGCGTGGACTCCAACTCCCAGAATTCTGGGATCTGGGGAATTCCTGCTGGCTGGGGAATTCTGGGAGTTGAAATCCACACATCTTAAAGTTCCAAGTTTGAAAAACACTGTTTTAACCAAATGAGGATCTACCCATCGTTTCAGCCATTCATTTCAGCCATTCAAATGATGATAAAAACAGAGAATGCTGCAAAGTATGGTTTGGTAAAGGGGGAATGACCAGGCTTCTGTTACCCAAGAAGTTTTGTCATTGTTCCCAAACTAAAGTTCCTAACAAAAATCTAGACAATCACTACACAGCAAACAATCTCCAAACTATTCTTCCCTCACTACTAACATTTCAGAAGTGCCATATCTAAAGGGCTCAGCACATATCCAATAACAGTTTTGTAATTTGTCCCCTGCAAAAGGGAATGAGTGTTTGTGTCATTATGCTGCATGTTTTGTTGCCAAGTTAGTGAAGAAGGCAGTGATGCTACAGCTCCAGGAGCTCTTACACTGATTACACTGATCCTTTCCAGTCTCAGTTTTGACATGGATTTGAAATGCAGGCAGCCTGTGTGAGAGAGAGGAGGAGTGCAAACCTGCTGATATGCCTGGATCTCTTTCTGGTTTTTAATACCAGTGACTAGGGTGTAGTGATGGAGCACTTGAAGGAGCTAGGGTTGGAGCTGCTGCTGTTTAGTGATAATCCTACTCCTATTTCTCTGAATGCTATCAGAAAGTAATACTGGGAGATTTCTCATAGGAATGATCTCATAGAAATTATCCCATAGTCCTGCAAGGCTCTAACTTGTCTCCTGTTTTATTTCACAATTATATGAAGCCACTGAAAAGGATGATTCACAGATACGGAGCTAGTTATTGATGGTGGGTAGCCATGAAACATCAATGGTAAGGTGATAAACCAACTGTGTCCTTAGCTGGAGTAGAGGGATCTGGGTTCGGTGACCTATGTGCCAGTAACCTTAAATAGAATGATTGTAATGTAGTCTTTGTGGGGGAGCCCTTGATGACAGTCCAGAAATGGTAGCTTGCCCAGAATGCAGCCGTATGGGTGGTTAGTGGGGCCTCCTAAATTTCCCATATAATTCTATTTTGAAACATCTTCATGGTTGCCTGTTGCTTTCTGAGTTCTATTCAAAAGGCTCATAATCATGTATATGTTACAGAGTCATCTAATCTCATACAGTCTACCATAAATAGTTAGAACATTGATGGGGTAAATTTTGTGGATTCCTTTGCAGATTAATTTGATATCTATGGTTAATTCTGTTTTTTCTGTGGTAGGGCCCCCAAACTCCTCTTTATTGGAATTTAGAAGGAGTCTCAAAACATACTTATTTACTTATTGTATTCATTTAATAATATTTTAAAGTATTTTTAATGTATTCCTCTTGTTACAATAATATTTTTATAAGCAACACTGAGAGGGAGGGAGGGAGGGAGGGAGGGAGGGCAGGCTAAGTATTTGTGTGGCATCTT